TATGGTCATAAATAGGAAAATTGTACATTTAAAAATAAAAATAATCCCACAATTTAAGCTAATTGGCTTTGATTCTTGTATAGACTAAGGGGTGTTTGGAACTGATTCTGCCTCTACTTCTTTTTGGAGTAGAAGTAGAATCAGAATTAGTTTTCAGAAGCTGATCCCCCATGCTTCTAAAAAAACTGCTTGTAGGAGTAAATTAGAATACCATAAGTACTTCTGCACTTTCACCCGAACACTCCAACTTCTGTTTCTGCTCGTTGAAGGACCAGAAACAGATTTAAGAATCATATCTAAACACCCCCAAACTACAATTAGACAATTTCTACACTAATGTTGAATTCAAAACAAAATCAAGTTATTTTGTTGAATACAAAAATAAATAAAGTCAGTTCTAATTGTGAACAAACCACTCCTAAACCTTCATATAAACCACCAAATTTGTGTTTTCCTATCATTTAGGGTATGTTTGGAAGTTTGAAGGGAAGATGAGGGGAAGGTTTTGAAGGTTCGTCATCGGAAGGGAAAGGGAGGGAAAAGGTTGGAAACCCTTCTTGTTTGTGAGTATCAAGTTTGAAAAGATAAAGGTTTTGGATGAATTATAATTAAAATCACTTCACATATATGACGAATTCAAATAATTGAGTTTATATTTATTTAAAATTGAGCTAAAGTTGTCATTAATTAGTTATTCTTCAAAATCCCCCAATTTGGGGGAACTTGAATATTGAGCATTTGAAGGGTCTTGAAGGGTTACAAAAGCCCTCCAAAACCATCCACTCTGTGTTTTTAACTCACAAACATGAAAGGGAGGATCATAAGCCCTTGTCAACAATCCCTCCCTCGCCCCCATAAAACCCAACTCCCAAATATACCCTTACACTACTAGTATCTCACTCGTGCATTGCACGGGGTGTAAAGTTTAGATATTTTAAATGTCAATTTATAAACTCGGATGGAGATAATTAAACAGTATTCAAACGTTTAACGCAAGACCAAGTAAAGCGGTCAACTTTGGAAATCAAAAGATCCTTGTTCCGTCGGTTCTACACCATGGTCATAATACGAACCATATGATCATCATTAATGAAGAGTATTACTGCTACCAATGTCATAAATTTATATTGTACATATTTATTATTGTAGTTAAGGGGAGAGATTATTAGTCTCCTCTATTTATAGGCGATCAGCCACCCATATCACACATATAACGGATACGAATCTTCTGTTGAAAGTATATCACCTTTTCTCTAAGTCTTTTACTTTCCTACTTAAGATGTTTTTTTATTGGTATGGAACTTTCTAATCTAATCTAATAGACGTTTTTCATATGTGTTCTATCACTGTCCAAATCTAATACGATAGTATGATCTAAATCTTAACGAAAATAAATCTTCAGCAATTTATGACATGCATTAGATATATGTAAATAATTCCTTGTATGATATCTTGTTAAATTATAGGCGTGTACTTCATTCATCCCTTACAACTTTATTATTATTATTTTTAAATTGTCCAAAAAAATTAACACTTTTCATTTTAATCAATAAATTTGTAATTTCTATTATTTCTAACTCTTTTGATAAAGTATTGAGAGACGAGCCTTACATCATCCAATTTATTTTCGTCTTGTGGATATTCCCATATGCTTAATAGTGCCAATGAACATCAACCTCAAATGTCTATAATCATAAAACCTGTCAGTGATGCCACCCTTTTGCTCACTTGTCAAGTAATGCAGTCAAGATCATCTCTGCAGGAAACAACAATTCTTACCACATCTGAATCCCGACAAATTCATGTTCTAGCAAATACATGTTCAAAAGCTTTGGCATCTTCTAATATACAAAAGGAGGAGAAAATTTGGCCAATTTTCCCGCCCAAAGCACTGGTAAGATATGGGTCAGGTCGGGTCACTACCGTTTTTCAGCATCTATGGCCTAAAATCGTACAACATTAAATGTTCACCCAATACCCAAGAAGTGATGGTGTGAGGCTCAATAAAAAGTTTATGGGAAATTGCCCAGGACCAAATGAGATTTGAAATTCCAAAATAGGATTACTATGTTTTTATTCCCGAAATAGGAGTTGTCACTGTCATGTATAAAAAATGCTATCATGATTGAAAAATATTGTCATTAATTATAATAAATATTGTCATGTTAAATGCACTGTACTGCAACTATTTGGAAATCACGTCTACACGATGGTTGTAAATACTGCCATGTTAGTCCCATTTTGGGAATAAAAACATAATAGTCCTATTCTGGAATTTCAAACTCCATTTACTCCTATTTTGGGAAATCTCCCAAAGTTTATTTGGAATGGGCTACACGATTTACAATGAAAAATAGAGGACAAACTTTAATATTAAAAATGTATATGTGTCAATTCGAATTAATGAGATTGTACTACAAAATCCTTGAATGTCATTTCAATATCGGCATGGTTAAATTAAAAGTAGATAAGTATTTAATGCTCTCAAAACAAGTTCAATGTATTGCTTGAATGTATGGGCCAATCATCATACAACATAATGTTTGTACTACATAATCTTGAGATTCTTGAGTAAAGATTTTGTAACAATGGACCATTGGTTAAAAACCTGTTTGAATTTCAATACACTCCACCACCAGCAATGTGGGCTGCAAACCTTATAAATACTCGCTATGTGGGTTGCAAAACACGCCACCGGCAAGCATTTCACAACCAATTACTATTACTACTTACTCAATGGCAGGTTCAACAACCCATACAAGGATGTGGTCTTTGATCAAAGACATTAATCACACAAAGTCCAGTTGGGCCTTGAGAGTTAGAGTTGTTAAGGTTCACGAGGTGCCTCCCCATGCCAAGGGTGGGGAGACCCTGGAGATGGTGTTGCACGATGAAGAGGTACTTATTCAAATTAAATTGTTTATCTTAGACATTTTATCAACCATTACATATGCAATATATAGCTAGTGAAGTTTATATGGGTACGACTGTATGTGTCACTAATGAGAGCCAATCATGTATGTTTTTATTGAACTTCTCTGCCTATTATTGTATGTTAAAATGTTTCATTTGTGTTTAAAAGAATACCCAACATCAGATTATAAAAGAAATTTACAGAAACAAAAATGAACTTCTGCAAACAGGTTGAGGAAAAATGGAGAAAATTAAAGCATATCCCTACAGTGCTGCCATTGTCTAAATATATCTCCCAAGCGTAACATTTTCTTCGATAAATTAATGATATGCATGACTGAGATTAACAGACGATATGTAAAGATATAAACATAGGTAGAAATCGATGTTTATGTATCTAAAAGTAGGTGGAAATTAGTGAACTTTATCTTTTCAGCATGTTTAGCCAATATTGCTTGTGTAGACTACGTTGGCAGATAATCTGGTGCGGGTGAGCGGCTGAATAAGGGAGACAAACACATTACAAGAAGTCGGGTGTTCCGTTGAAGAAGAGAAGGCAAACGGAATGAAAGAATGAAAGTGCGGGCGTGTGGCTGATGAAGAAGAGAAATTAGGTTTGAGCCTTGGAAGAAGAGAAGTTAGGTTATAATGGATTTGAATGAAGATGGTGGAGAAATTTTTGGTGAAGAAGAAGCGAATGAAAGAAGCTGAAGCGAAGAAAGACCGTGGAAATTACATTATAGCCCTAAGCTGAAGCTGTAGTGTTTTTAATATTCCTGCAATATAATTTGTTCTTATTACACTATTTCTATTATTTACACTATTTCTTCTTCACAAACTTGGCATGTCCCTGAACTTTACTACTTCATCTTCCTGGTTGTTAACATGATAATACATATCGAATGAATATGAAGCCTTGGTCTTCAAATCCTGTTTTTCACACAATGATTCAACGGTCAACTGCGGGCAATCCGACGTCGACCACTGCGTCGGAAAATATGACACATTCTTCTCCCCCGTAAGAAGTCTATCATGTCCATTGATTATGTTTTGGGAGGAATGCATTGAAACTTTAAAGTGATTTTAATCTGGTTAACTTAAATATACTCGACTATATTATAAATAGGAGATATCACACTTTGAGTCCTTCAAACCGTGATCAATGTAATTCTCATGTTTTCAAATATGTAAAATGTAATGTCATCCCTCAATTATCCGAATATTAGTAATGTGATTATCACACTCATTGTAAATGTCACTCTTGAAAAGATTACATTTACAACAATTTGAACAATTGACGGGTGACATTTACAAACTTTAAAATATGATAACTACATTTGGACATTTCAATACGTGTACTATATAACGAGCTTTTAGAGTGATTTCCCTTTCTAAATACGGATTACGGAGTATATTAATTCCTTATTCTCTTACAATTTCGCTAACTTTTTTTTAGTTATCTCACTAATTGTCACAATCTCATGTAAGTAAAAAATGTTGTTCTACACTCCTAGTTAATTCTCTCTCATCTAAACAAATGCTCTATCGGTCCCTTAAAACTTTGTCATCTTTCCTTTTTGGGACGTCCCAAAAAACTTTGTCATTTTCCCTTTTAATCAATTATTTTGTGGTTTCTGTTATTTCTCTCTCCTCTGCACAAACCTCAACTACACAGTTTTTACTTTATTATTCTCCGTGCCGGTCAAATTTGGCAAAGTTTTAAGGGACGAATGCAGTATTAAACATACAATTTTTATTTTATTAATGTCGTACCGGTCAAACGTAGTCAGGTTTTACTACTACTACTACATACTCCCTATGTCTCAAATTGTTTTGCAAAGTCAATATTTTTAGGTCAACCAATAATAAAAGTCAATCCTCCCTATCGATAATTAACTCAATTTTTAATAATTAAAATTTACATATTCAGAAACTACATTAAAATCTCTTCAAAATTGCAAACTCCAAATTAGAATATAATTAAAAATTGTCATCTTAATTAAGCTAATAAAATGAAACTGTTTGACCAAGTGGAAATCGTGATCATGCTTCCCGTACATAGTGTCTCTTGACCCGTAGCCTGCTATTAACCAATCGTGCCACTGATCGCGCTAGTGTATGGTCGGTCCTAAATGTCAGCGGTCAAACCGATCACCATTCAGTCCTACGGATCAAATTTTCAACATTTTGTGCAATAACACCATTGCAGCCATTGCAGGCACCAGCATTTCATCCCCTTCGGTATTCAGACGAATTCCACGCAGATCTCACCATGTACAGTCCAAAACAACCCACTTCAAAATCCCTCCTTTTACTCACACTTATTATCCTACTCACATTCTTGGTCACCACTTCACTCTCGTCTGACCCCACCACACTCGATGACGACAGAGATGATGACGTGGAAGACCTTGAAGAACTGATAGCCCTAGATGAGGAATCAGAAGAAGGAAAGCCCTCTTCTGGGGCTGAGATTCTTAGCAGAGCTCAGAGAATAGTGATTGAGCTTAACAATGATAACTCAAAGAGTGCGATTGGGGAGAATGAGTTTGTTCTGGTCATGGGTTATGCCCCATGGTCCCAGACAAGTGCGGAGCTTATGCCTAAATTTGCGGAGGCCGCAAATGCCCTTAAGGAATGGGGAAGTCCCATAGTGATGGCCAAGATTGATGCTGAGAGGTACCCTAAGGTTGCTTCCAATCTAGGGATCAAAGGGTTCCCAACATTGCTTCTTTTTGTCAATGGCTCTTCTCAACCTTACACTGGTGGATTTTCTGTGTAAGTGTTTACCTGTTTGATAGTGCTTGCTTCGATTGTTGTAGATATTGGGAGCAGAAAAGTAAAAAAAAAAAATAGATTCTTTAATCTTCTAGGATTTCTTTAGTAAGTGTACTGATATGCTCCCACTCAAGTAAGTGACCGTTAAGATTTGTTGCTTCGAAGGTTTCAGAGGGAAGGGGAGGAATAATTTTTATTTTAATAATTTATAGTGTAGTTTTAAATAGTTTTAGAGTAGAACTAGTTAATTTATACAGTAGTTAATTTTTATCAGCAAGACCATGTATTCATTACTGTTTTTTTATATTTACTCCGTTTCCAACAATCTAAATGTAGAGATAGTTCAACAAATAAAATATCACCCCTCCCCTCCGGAATTAAACAAGCCCTTATTGGTCTATTTAGTATTAAGAGTATGTTTGCCTCTCAGAAAGTAATGCACGAACAAAAAAATAGCGGCAGTATCTTTTGTTTTTGCACATTACCTCGGGAAATGCAAAGGAAAATGAAACAAGATAATAATTTTTAATATTTCCCAATGTATTTACACTACTTAGATATCCAAAATAAATCTATTGAGCTTGACCCTATCTTTTACATCCACCAAATTCTTTCCTTCCAATTTTCCTCTTTTTTTTATTTTATTTTGTGTTTCTGTATTTCATTTATCTCTTATTTTATTAGTTCTAACGGATCCTAAGTAGCCATTGTTTATGTAAAAAATGGATTTAGCTAATGTACAACTCTTTTAAGAATGGAGTAACTAATTAGCAGACGATAATGGCGCAGCTTGTAGACAACTAGACAGTCAGTGTTTTTAGATGTCCATAGAATGCATTGATCTTTACATGTGGCTTGTCATGTTAATTAGGGAAGAAATTGTGGTTTGGGCAAAGAAGAAGACAGGTGAACCTGTGTTTAGGATTAATTCCATTAATGAGGTTGATGGGGTTCTGAAGAAGCATTCTATGTTTGTAGTTGGGCTATTTGAGAATTTTGAGGTAATACATGTTTTTTTTGTTTTAAAATACCACCTAGTTATAAAGTTATTTTTTGTTGTTCTGATTGTTGACCATAATTACTTCCAGTATATTAAGATAAACTCTACCATGTGGATTGTTCAGGGACCTGATTATAAAGAGTACATAAAAGCTGCAGAACAAGACAATGAGATCCAATTTGTTGAAACTAGCAGTTTAGAGATTCTCAAGGCTTTGTTTCCTGATGTCAAGCCCACTAAACATTTTGTAGGTTTAGTCAAAAGTGAACCTGAAAAGTACACTTCATTTGGTAGGTTAATTTTTTATAACCTCTTCACTCCCCAAGATATTAATTTTTCAGACTTTTTTATTATTATTTGAAATCACAGTATTTGTTATTTTTACCTAATTTTAAAACTTCTTATCTTTTAGCATGCAATATGCCTTTTATTGATGCAACATAATTATTATTCATCATTTGAGTAGTCTGATAGAGGTTTGACTCCAATACTCCATTAACGTGGATTGCAGAAGGAGCCTTGAAAGCTGATGAAATCCTACAGTTCCTAGAAGATAACAAGTTCCCCCTAGTCAGTGTGATAACTGAACTTAATTCTGCAAAAGTTTTCTCCAGCTCTAGAAAACTCCAGGTTCCACTTATTGACCACTCCAATTCCCTTAGTTATATTTCGACTCATCATTATTTGTGTATTTCACACATGCTGAGGACTAAAAATGTTTTTGGGAAGTATTATTCTTGATAAGATTTGGGTTTGATTGGGGTCACTCGATCAGATTATTATAACATACTTGGGTTAAATCATGCTAAAAGGGTCAAACCATACTAAAAGGTTGAATTCAGCCTATTAGTTAGGTTAACTTGGGATCTTATTAACCATCAATTTCTCTTTCTTTGTCTTTGTTGAGTGATCCCAATACAATTATGAATTTCATCAATACTAACCTATGTGCTATGCTACTGTAAACAAGGTATATGTCTTTTCTGTTCCAGCTGAATTCGAGAAACTCCTTCAACCGTTGCAAGATGTTGGAAGGAAGTTCAAATCTAAGGTTCCAAAGCTGATGTTGTTTTTTACTGTAGTTTTTTACTTTTACGTAAGCACTTTTCTCATGGAAAAAACGTCCTGGTAATGCAGATCATGCTGATATATGCCGATATAAGAGAGGACAACCTTGTGAAGCCTTTTGTGACTATGTTTGGACTAGAAGAACCCGAGGGCACTGTGGTTAGTTTCTTTTAGCTGCATATTTTAGGGGCCGTTTGATAAGAGTTATTTGGCTGAAGTGTGGTTGCATGTGCTGAATTTTCTGAATTGAAAATGTCTGGTAATCTCCATTTCAGCCAAATAATTATGTCAAAAGCTACTTATTCTATCAATGCGCGGAATAAGCCATATAAGGTACCAAACAGTGAAACAGAGCCTTAGTATGGTACTCCAAGCTGAGTCAGATAGCTGATGATTTTTTTGCTTGTGAATTATTAGGTAATTGCTTTTGATTACACCATCAGCTCCAAGTACTTGTTGGAGGTCACTGCCACGCCAAGAAGCATTGAAGTAAAAAAAATTAGCCCGACCTGTTTTTCTTTCAGATTCTTACGATTGCTGATTAATTTACAGTAATTAAAGTTTTGAATCTGTAGGACTTCTGCTTTGGAATTCTGGATGGGACTGTATTGCCATACTACAAATCGCAGCCAGTGCCCAACAATGTTAGTTTCTGCTGAACTTTACCTACCAACCCCATACTATTACAGCTTTGTTCGGCATGCCTAGCGGAAAAGCTTTCTCAGATACTAAAAAACTAACATTTAGATGCTAAAAAGCTACCGGTTATGCTTAGTTTGGATGATGAAAGTCAGACTTGAAGGTAGGGAAGAAGAGAAATGAGTAGATGTTTAGTTTGTTGGATTACGAGAAACAGGAAAGTTAGAAAAAAGATAAAACAAATAAGCCGTATGGTATATACATCCATTGCATCGTTTCATTAATTGTGAGCCATTTGTTTTTCCCCTTATGTCTGCCACATTGAGGGGATTTATTTATGCAGCCCCCATCTCTTCTTAACCATCTTAGTAATTATGAATGGTACTGGTAATCTAAATTTGCAGAAAGACACAAACATTCTGGTTGTGGTTGGGAAGACATTTGATGACATGATCTTTAACATTCAGAAAAACATTCTTTTAGAGGTTTGTCTAGATTTATTATAATTTTCATTCCTTATTAACAGAATTGCTAATGATCATACCCTAGATCCTTACATACTTGACACATGAAAATAAAACATTTGAGATTTTTATATCATTTTCCATCATTTGCAATGGAGCCAAAGATTCATTATTTTTTGGCTTGAGATTATGATGGAATAAAGCAAAATGGCTCAATAATCTGTCTGCGCTTCTTTGTTATGAAGCAGCAGTCAGTCCATGCAATTTTGGACGGGATTTTCACTATGGGTCATCCGGAAACAGTCTCTCTATGCTTTAGTACAGGCCTACAGGGGTAAGACTGCGTACATCCGACCCCCCTTACCCCACTGTAGGTGGGAGCCTTTGCGGCACTGCGGTAAATGAAAATGAAATGAGATTTTTATATCAGGAGGATATGCTGCTCCAGGTCCATATGATCTTGATCATTTCATTTTCATTTACCCCAGTGCCGCAAAGGCTCCCACCTACGGTGGGGTAAGGGGGGGTCGGATGTACACAGTCTTACCCTGTACTAAAGCACAGAGAGACTGTTTACGAATGACCCATAGTGAAAATCGCGTCCAAAATTGCATGGACTGACTGCTGCTCCATAAAAAAGAAGCGCAGACAGTTTAGTGAGCCATTTTGCTTTATTCCATCATAATCTCAAGCCAAAAAATAATGAATCTTTGGCTCCATTGCAAATGATGGAAATTCCATATGATCTTGATGAATGTGATAAATTGCATTAAGATGAATGAATTTTGATCCAATTTGCTTCATTGTAAACTTTTGTTCATGTTAAAGGTACACACACCATGGTGCGTCTCCTGTGATAAGACAAGCAAACAAATGGAGAAGTTGGCCAAGCATTTCAAGGGTTTAGAAAATTTGATGTTTGCAAGGATAGATGCTTCCGTTAATGAACACCCCAAACTGCAGGTCAGTATCTCTGTTTGGTTATAACCATTCGCGCAACAAAGACTTCCCTAAACTTGAATTTGGGGTGGGTCTACAAAATTTGTTTTTTTTACCGCTATTGGAGTAGGACAGTACCCTGCTTCCACAATATGGAAACAAGATGCATATTTAGAATAGCAACAGAAAAACCATAAAATTAGCTAATGCTGCAAGTATTTCATAAAATTAGCTAATGCTGCAAGTATTTCACGTGACTGACCGATATACATTGGTGTAATGCTAATTGTTGGCAGGTTGATGACTATCCAACATTACTATTCTACCCAACAACAGACAAATCCAACCCTGTAATTTCCTAAACTAGTTTTGTGTTTCTTTTTCTTTTTGCTCTTCCTACTTTTGTAGTTGCCTTTGATAATGGTGTTCTTGCTGTAGATAAAACTGCCTACAAAGTCAAGCTTAAAAGACTTGGCGACACTGATCAACAAGATGCTGAAAGAGCATGGAACCAAAACCAAAGATGAGCTCTAGGACACTTTCAAAACAACCACATCAAGGCAGATGGCCGAAGAAGGCGTAAACATTGAAAAGAGTAACAAAAATGTCCCATATAAAGTGTAAACCTGTGCACTTTTATGTGCTTCAGAAATACTACATGATTTTATAGTTTATTTTATTGCATTGGAAATGATATATCATCAAGCAGAGAAGAGTTTAAGTCTGTTGTTGTACTAACCTCGAGAATAGAAGAAGTAGAAGAAGTGTAGCAATTCAATCATTGGATGATGCTTCAAAAGAGTTTATCAAGGGAGTCCAACTCTTCTCTGTTTTTGCGAATTAGGATGTCTATACTTGGTCTATTTTCACCCCATACCAGTTCAACCCAAATTTAAACAAATCAAATCAGACTTCCATAGCTAAAGGATGGCAAATTTCAATCCTTAATGGTGGATTCAATGGTTTTTGTTCTTGGTGCCCATTTTCTAGCTCGACTTTTTTACACATTTGTCATGCTTTCGGTTTCCTATCAATAAGAAATTAAGAATACGATCTTAATTAACTACGCTGACGTAAATCCATTGATGCTTTTAACAAATCAATGCATAATTTTATATTTTTGCTCAACTAGCTAAAACGAAAGTAGATGCTACTTGAACCTTTTTCCATTAATATATATTAATGCGATTTTGTTTATTTTTTCTATTTATTTGCAAAAACATTTTACTCATCCCCTAAGTGACAGTTGATTGTGCAATTATAAGAGTTCAGTATTTAGAAAATTGTTTAGTATACATAGTTGTTTTAAATGCCAGATACTATCCACATTTGCGTCCCATAACCACCATCTACCAGATTAATCAAATGAACGCAGAACAAGAATGTGGATGAAAACCCTGAGTTTGTCATCAAAATTCACTACTTTGATTAACACTAATACTGCTCACCAAATGGAATTATTATCATACGATTATGGCAGAGGCCGGTCATTGACTGCTTTTTTGAACAACGTGATAAGATTTTGAATGAAACAGACTAGTAGTAGACTACGGCATGATCTTCTCTGGTTTATGCAAAATCTTCAACTAGGATTGGTTTTTCAGTCTTCCCATCTTCGTTCTGGCCATCGTCACCATCATCCTGATTTCCTGTTTTTTTGCTTGTTTTTTTCACCGTATCTCCAATCGATAATCCTTCCAATGCATCCACGCAAGATCCGCCGCCTTCGGGCAAACCCGGTGCCAAAAGCGCATCCGATCGCTCTTCCTTTTCGCCTGCACCGGCGGCTACGACAACCTCATCGCCGGTCAACTCGGGTCGCTTCTCGGTTACGCAACAACCGGGACTTCCATCGACGCCGTCCGCAATCCCAACGAGCGAATCGGTTGGGTCTCCGGTGACTAGCCACGGATCGTCCACGCAACTGCCCTCTGCATCGTGGTCCGAATGGGAAAGGGTCGACCGCACGGCGCTGGCGGCCTTGAGGAAAGCCTCTTTGATGGATTCCAGTGGCAGCGCACAATCTTCGAGACCGGCATCTTCTAGTCTCGGCGGTCGTATTTCTAGCAATCCCTCCTCCATATTCCGATAGTCGAATTTAGGTTTCTTCGGATGGAGTAGAAAATAAGCAAGCTCCGCGTTATCAAAGAGGAGTTGATACGTGTCACTCCCACTGTAGTTGCAAGAAGTCTCTAGAAAATGACTTGCTGTCCCCACTGTAGTTGATAAGCTATTCTTTCTCTCCTTTTTTCTTTCTTTTTCTCCGAGCTATATTGTACTTCCTCCGTCCCAATTTGTTTTACAAAATTTCATATTTTGATTGTCCCAAAATGATTTTCCACTTTCTATTTTAGGTATGTAAATAAGAATAAAGTGTCAAATTTACCCTAACTTTTACTTTTTTCTCATTAACTTAAAGGCATCTACTTTTAGAAAGATGGATAAAAGTATAAAAAAGCAAGCGTCATTTATTGTCATTCCTTAATACGTGTACCGGTCAAAGTTTGTAATTCAATTCGGGACGGAGGGAGTACTACGTAGTACTTTCGTCCCCTTGGAAAGTTCAAAGTTCTCATACTGAAACGACACAGTTATTTAGACAATAATTAAATAAAGTACTTTGAGTATATTTTGAGAAATAAATTTAATAGGTATATATTATAATGTAGTTAGTATTGATAACTGTGATGATATAAATGTATTATTTTTTATATTTAATGATTAATTTGTCATTTAAGATTGTTAATTGTTAGCTAAAATGGAAATAAAAACCTTTATATGGAACATAAATCATAACAATGGAACATGTTAGGATATTGTTGGTTCACATAAGGTATATTCATACTAACAACGAATTTTGAAATAAATCCATTCAGATGTTAAACTAAAGAAAAATAGTCATATAAAAACTATAATTCCGTCATATAAAGAAATATAGCATTACAAAATGATGACTGACATCATTAAATAATCATGACTACAAAGATACTCCCTCTGTCCCGAAATTATCTTCATTCTTTCCTTTTCGGTCCGTCCTAAATTTATCTCCTCTTTCCCTTTTTGATAAAGAATATGTGGTTCACAACCATTCTTACACATTTCTCTCTCCTCTGCACAACTCTCCACCACACAAATCACACTATCTTAATCCTCGTGGCCAGTCAAAACCGAAGTTAATTATGGGACGGAGGGAATAGTAATTTTAATTGACAACAGTTGTCAGCAGCTACAAAATAATGAGGAGAAAAAATGAAAATAATTTAGAAACAAAACTAATTAAGGAAAAAACACCGAAAGCTAAAAAATGAAATGGAGATAACGAATGACGGCTAGCTCTTGAGTGACGGGAAGTTTAGAACATTGACCAAAAATTGAAACTCACATCGGTTATGTGGAGGTTACAGCTCTTGCATACTGGGTTGAACCTCAAGTACGCACGGATATAAGGTGTACCATTATTGGATCGATTGAGTCACAGTGACTAATAACCTCCCAAAAGTCTTATCGGGTCGGGATGTGAGAGAGCTTGGAATTGGAGATTAAACCTTTTGGAATACTAATAAATACTACCTCCGTTCCTATTTTATCTTCCAACCCACTTTGGCACACAATTTAAGAAAAGTGGGTATTGTGTGGTGGAGAGTTGTGCAGAGGAGAGAGAAATGTGTAAGAAATGTTGTGAACCACAAATTTTTTACCAAAAAAAGAAAGTGAAAATTTAATTAGAACGGATAAAAAAGGGAAGTTGGAAGTTTATTTAGAAACGGAGAGAGTAACAAAAGAGAGGAGAAAATGTTCAATACCACTAACAATGTTTTGTCATAGATTGAACAGTGTTTTAAAATTTGGCAAATTATATTAGAGTTACTTCATCGATTGATCAACATCTTATGATCTCCAATAAATTCTAATTCTCGCATTGCTGCCTGACGCGTGAATAAATGTTTATTAGGCGATTTACTGAGTTAATAATGTTTAATGGTTTAGAAGTTAATTTTTACCTCCAAATTCCAATGCTGTTAGTTAACACTTTTTTCCAGAGAGAAAGGTACATGTGTGATTTGATCGATCTAATTGGATTCCCTTTTTTGATAATCCGGGTGTCGGGACTTGCGTTCCCATAATCCTGGAGTATATGAACTATCCTCCAAAACCCTTAGACACTTAAATTCGGATCTGATCACAGTCAACGTCAGTACTGGCTCCAAAGGACGAATCTAGCAGGACTTACATTACCTTTCAGATTACTCTTCCCACCACACAAACTCGTTACCTTCATTACCATCTTATTCCTTTTTGGCCGCTAAGCAACTCCGTGAAAGTAGAAAGAATTATTGATAGCAATACCTCCTTCATCTTCTCTTGATGGGAATTGAACCCAAGACTCCACAAAAGAGAGACTTGGGGTGGATGGCTTGGACTACACCCACCAACTACGAACACAAAATGGCTAGTCCATCATGATAACGTATTATATAGGCTAAAGCACTATCTACCTAGCTAGGATGTTTAGTGGGCAATCCAAGAATGGTTTACATTCCCTGAGCACATGCCGGTAATAATGTGTCAAACAAAACAAAAAAATGTAAGAAATTCAATGCTATTAGAGTATTTGTCTGGTTCATTCACTTTATTGTGCGAGCTACATGCCTACTAGGAATAATATCTCTAAACAAATGTAATGTTTGGCTCAGATTTTATCTTTTGATCTTACTTTTTCGAGTTCCTTCTTTAACATTGTTCCAAAAAAGGTGTAATCTGCCACCCCAGGAGCCCTCCACCCCGACCCGACAGGATGGTGGGAAGGTTAGTCACGGTGACTCAGTCATCAGAATGGCAGTAGGCCCATACACCTGTGCTAGGCTTGGACTCAGATCCGGTCACCCGGCCCGTGGACCGGCCCGGCCCGCTACTGTGCGGGACCGGGACCGGCCCGGTTCTCGGATCCGGGTACGGGTCGGGCCTAGGCCCAGGGGTAGTGCGGGTCCGGGCTCGGGTCTCAATTTTGGTGAACCGGCCCGGACCAAATTGAATTTTTTTTATTTTTTTTTCATTTTTGGGGTTCCACCCGGGTTGGGCTTGATGGGTAGGATGGGTTTGGGGGGTTTGGGAGGGTGGGGGGTGAGGGGGGGGGGGGGGGGGGGGGTTAGGAAAGCAAAAAAAAAAAAACCAAACCGGAGGCCCGGCCCGGACCCGGACCGGACCCGGTGGCTACCCGGTCCGGTCCCGGGTCCACCATTCTTGAACCGCCGGCCCGGCCGGGCCTAGGCCCGACCCGGACCCGGCCCGGACCCGAGTCCACCCCTGACCTGTGCGCACCAGAGACCCAACCTTATTTCAGGTTCTGTGACCTCCACCCGGTCGCTGCGGGGATTCGAATCTTGATCCATTGTTCCAAATCTCCCACCACTCGACCAACTGAGCTACCCGTACGGGTAGTTCCTTCTTTTACAAATTATAGAGGGAATAATTTTCCAAAAAATCACCATTGTTTGTTCGTTTAAATTGACAAGCGTGTAAAATTTTGATGCTTAAATCCAGCAAAATCTTTTTACTCCAATGAAAATCTCCAAAATATTCTTTTAAATGTATTCCTTTATAAAAGTACTTTATCTTATTCCAAAAGTACGACCGAGAGAAAGAAATAAGATGAAAGTTCAGCGTTCCACTCACGGCTATACAACGAGAATACTTGTCACTAAAAAAACTCAAAGTCAAGAATTCAAGATAGTACAATTTATCAATCACTCGAACGGTTCTAAAAAATACTCCTGTAATTTTCAAGGAAGAAATTTTCTTTATGTCAGACATTGATTACATTGGATCCAAATTGAAGTTCAAATAATAATCAAAGAACACCCAAATGGTTGTAGAAATCCAATACTGCCTACCTGGAGAAACTATTAACACAATGGCATCAAGAAATTATATCCAAAAGTTAGTCATTTTGATAATGATGTTTCTGGACCAAGCCTATTGAATTTCTATATTTATGGTTTCTTCAACTACCGCCGCCTGATTTCTAATAGTAGGTGGTGTTGTTCTTAAGCCACTTTCACTACTTGAGCCAGACGGTTGAGGCCCAAACTCGCTGGTAGGCCCGCTGCAGTCACTCGACGCATGCGTTAATGCCATTTTCCTGAACTTTATCAGGTCTTCTTTGTACTGTGCCGTGTCATAATCTGAGCTTCCAAAAGGTTCTTGAATCGAACTGTGTCCCGGTCTAACTCCCCCGTTTAACTCATCCAATGCTAGCTTCCCTTCTAAAGCCTCGACTACCTGAGCATCACAAGAAGATTTGTTATAGCATAGAGAAATTAGGCAAGAACAGGAAACACGCTCTTGTGAAACGAATGTTGAGTTTTATTGATAGAACCCAAATTTTAATACTCTAAAATGGATTATTATTATGTTTTTATGATGGAACCGAAGTCTTAATACTCTAAGTAAGATTACTAATATTCCTGTGATCTAAGGAAATGAACTAAGGAAATCAGGTTCCATAATCTAATTGGAGGAAGTGTCCAAGACCTTATAGGTTGCTATGCATCTTTGCTTGAGCGATGTGTAAAAATGGAAAAGTAAATTACTCTGTATATATATATACTCCGTATATCAAAGTATGTTATTACTCCCTCCGTCCCTATATAAAAGTATCCATTCATTTTACACACATCTTAAGAAAGTGGGTTTGGTTGGTACTGTTTGGCACTGTTTGGACACTGTTTGGCACTGTTTGGCACTGTTTGGCACTGTTTTGCACTGTTTTGTTTGCCAAAAAAGGAAAGGGAACTTTTATTTAGGGACGGCCCGAAAAGGAAACAGATGCTTTTATTTAGGGACGGAGGGAGTATAATATAAGTTGTAAAACACAACCATATATGTATATACTCCCTCCGTCCCTTATAACTTTGCCAACTTTCCTTTTTTGGTTGTCCCAAAAACTTTGCCACTTTCCCTTTTAATCAATCAATTTGTGGCTCCTGTTATTTCTCTCTCTTCTCCACAAATCTTTACCACACAGTTTTTACTTTATTATTCTACGTGCCGGTCAAACTTGGCAATCCTTTTAGGGACGGAGGGAGTATTTGGCAAATTAGAATTTCTAACAAATTTTCAGAAATACTTCTTGTAATTGAACTGTATTAAAGTGGTAGATAACTAGATACGCATGGGGAGCACCAGTATTGGGTAGGACAAGTTAACGAAA